TTAATTCATGAAAGTAGATTTCTAAGCGAAATAAATACTAATCAGCGGTAAACAGCGTGGGTTCTATATATGTACATACATATGTATACGGTGACCATATTTATGGGAGCCGAATATGGAACAAGAAATAATTTTGTAAATTTTTTACACAAAAACTTACAGATCTTAAAGCCTTCTTCAATGATTCTAGATGTATTAGCCCTGAAACAGCATCCTTGTAGTAACATCACAAATTTGTAGGAAATTTTTCGCGGGCTTTTACCCCGCGTAATTTGTTAAAAAAAATCTTTAAATTTTATTATGATAAAGTGCAATTTTGAAGTAGCTAAGACTCACCGCTAATTTTTGAATTTTTTCTTTTTTTGTTGACGATGTTGCTCATTTTTTTCATACAAAGGAAGTATGTTCGAGCATTTTTTTTTTTTTAAGAGAAGCAAATGAGGGGCACTTTATTATACTCAATTTTAATGCGGTGCGAAACTGCAAACCATTCCTTTTTTTCTAAAGATTCTAATTAGGGAGTTTGAAATTTTGGTGAAACATTGCAGAATTAATTTTTATAGTTTTTTGCACAAAGTTAGAAATTTGGTATTTGAATAACTCAGTGAGAGGGGAAACTAGTATGTTTGCATATATGTATTTATATAAAAAAAATATTTATTGGTGAAAAAATGGTGGGTAGGCACTGTGGACAATGGTAAAGTTCTTCTACTACCTCTGCAAGATTGTAAGTCATGCAGAGTCCGCAAATGGGTTCGGTAGCATTGTCCGGAGGATGCATGAGACTAGGCCGAGCATAGTTTGATCTGCCATCAAATTATAACTTAAGAAAGTTTTATTACATGGTAGTTGAGAAGTGCATGTTCGAAAATTTCATTAATTTAATGAAGGATGTTTTTGCGGCTGCAGCAGTACGTAGCATGAATTTAGGCGCCTGGTGTTAACAGCCACGCCTAAACAATATTATATGGTTTTTTGTTACGAAAAGAGCTTTTCTTTCATAATAATAATAAAAAAAAGGAAAAATAGCCAAACCTTGCTTTCGAGTCTTAATTTATATTTTGGTCACTGTATGTATTGCTCGAATCGAAACACAGGCATTCAGATTAGAATATAATAACTGTTTATGGAGAAAATTCCGTTCATCTTAAAACTCGTTCATAGGCATGTCATTTTAATGAGCTGTTAAGGCGTCGAAACACCGAATACTGGACAACTACAGGACATTAGAAGAAATACAGAACATTTGGCGTCCCGTATAAAATAAAGAAATTACCAGGGCAATAGGTCAAAAAAGGGTACTTTCTGGTATAATACAGGACCGATCAGGTTTCCTTTTGCTAAGTACTCACTTTATTGTGCACATGTACATACATATTTCCGTACCCATAATCTTATTACGTATGTATGTATGTGAGGGGTTTCTCACGTAAGCATATTTCTTACGCCTAAGTAATTTTGTGTGCTTCTTCTTTTGTGTCTATATATCTACATGTTATATGCTACAACGCACCGCAATCTTTCAAAAATTTCATTAACAGTCTTTTTCACATACGTATATACATATAAATATTTACCTTCCTAACTATTCTTCTGCTTAATCGCCACACATTACTCAGTTTTCCGCGCATTAATTGTTTGCCTCAAGCACGTCTCCATGCTGTGCGAAAAGATGCAATTTCACGCCGGTTTTACTTTCAGTGATAATCTGTTTAGTGCAGGGACCAAACATAACAGTTATTGATGAAAGCTGTCATTGAAAAATTCACTATGAAGGAAATGTTCTATAACTAAATGATACATACCAATCGATTTCTTTCTTCACCGAGAATCAAATTTGAAAATAAATTTTTATTTGTAATTTTTATGCAAAAGTAACACAAATAACAATTATTTTCGAATTTTATTTAACAAATCCAAAATAACAATTATTTTTTATTTTTATATAAATAATCTGTATATAACTGTTATTTTTATATTTTATGTCTTAGATAACAGTTATTTAAGACTTTTATTTATAAAAGTCATCAAAAAAAAAACTCACTCACCGATGTTTGTTTTTTAAATCATACGTATATCTGTATATAACTGTTATTTTTATTTTTATATTTTATGTCTTAGATAACAGTTATTTAAGACCTTTATTTATAAAAGTCATCAAAAAAAAACTCAATCACCGATGTTTGTTTTTTAAATCATACGTATAAAAGTCATCATAATTTTTCGCAGTTAAGAAGCTGTTGGAGAACCCAAATTTACTACGACTTATACAAATGACTTTTATAAGTATGATTTTAAAAATAAAAGTCAGTGACTGATTTATATTGATGGCTTTTATAAATAAAAGTCTTCAGTAACTATTATCTAAGATATATACTTTAAAAATCAAAAATAACTGCAGATTTTTTAGATAGAAATCAAAAATAATTGTTATTTTGGATTTATAAAATAAAAATCAGAAAAAATGTTATTCAAGGAGTAATTCAATAAAACTCAAAAAATAATTGTTAAAGAATGATTTTTTTAATAATAAGTTGTAGCTGTTACGGTCGCTGGTTTAGTGTCTGCATTTTATCTCGATAAAAGCTTTTCAAATAACTGTTCATCGCTTTAAACTTTTTCAGTTCGCTGTGGTTGTTGCATCAATTAATTTTTACTTTAGTTTAGAAAATAGGAGATGCTTAAAAATGTTTTTAAACAAACAATCAATTCCTTGCTTAAAATTATGCTGGCGGAATAGCTTTAAGGTCCACATCTACGCAATAGTCATATCAAACGAAGATACTTTGAAGCAACTTTGTACAATGGCAAATTATACAGTGACGCATTTTTAGGATTTTTGATTAGTTGCGCTAAATTATTGGCAAACAGTGGTACAAATTAAATTATATTGCAATTAATTTTATGTGTTGCCTTCAAACTTAATCCTTGTTTTAAGAGACACCTAGTAAAATATTTATAAAGACATATTTTTTCTTAGAAGATTTTTACTTTTTAACTCCAACATAGTGGGTCTTTTTGAATCTGATACGGTGTTTACATGAGGCGATTTTACAGGCAACTTTTAGTTGAAAACAACAATCGCCTGGTGTGAATGGACTTTCAACTAAATAATCGCTTCCAATGAAATTGCCTCTAAAATTTCTTAGAAAATCGCCTCATGTGAACACCGTAATACTTTGAAGCTGGATTATAGAATTTCTTTGAAAAATCAGAAATTTTAAGCAGCGAAATTTACTATAGGTCACCAAAGATAAAAAATTCGCCGATTAGATGAAACTTTAACTAAATTTTCTGTAGGGTCAATAGAATATATGGGTACTCCGGGCTTCAGAGACTTACGGCAAAATTTAGTGAGCAAATTTTTTGTAAAAAATTTACGACTTTCACTCCGTTTATTTAGTTTTTTGACCCTTATTCAAAAATTTAATTAGACATGGAAGTAAGAGCGCTAAAAGGGAATTTGACCTCTAGTCTCCGAAGAAAAATAATTCGATGTTTAAAGATAAAAGCGTTATGCGACTTTATCGATGAAATTTTTTTAATAGTTTCCTTAAAAAAAAATAAAGCTTATCATAACTATATGATGCCTACGTATTGACAAATTGGACCGTTTATTTTTTTATTACTTTTTATAAAATCATAGGTCACTATATAACAAAAACACAGCATTTTACCAAATTTTTTACATATGACTTTCGTTTATTTTCCGCCTAATTCTGTGTTTTCTTGATAAATTATTTGTAAAGAAATGTTATCAGGATTTTTATCGAGTAAAAGCTCCTTTCGCATTCTGTGTCAATATTTATAAAACAAAAAAGTTTACTGCCGAGAATATTTGTGAGGAGGGTTGCCACCTCTTTAAAAAATGATAAAGATAAATAAATAATTGGGTATTATTATTGGGAATCTCCTAAAGAGAAACAAAGTTTTGCGATCGATTTATATTGCCATTTAAAATATATGGGGAACTTTGAGCACTTGAGCGACCTCAAAATTTTTTTTGATTTAAAAAAATAGGGATATATTTTTTCGGTATAGAAAATTCCTAGGGGGTGAGAGCATAAAAACTCTAATATTACTTTTTCACATGCATTTTTGGACCACCCTAATATACATACATACATATGTATATGCAAACACACTGGCCTCCCCTCTCACTAAGTTATTCAGGCAACGTTTCTAGTTTATTTCAGATGCGTATATAGTTCAAAATTCATTCATTAACTTCACGTATTTTCACATGGATAATTTTATCAATTCAAAACTACTAATTTGCGATTTTCAAGAATGGTACAAGATCTTGTCACTAACCTCAATGCTCAACAAAATACCTAGAATACAAAAAAAAATCATTATAATTTAGGAACAGCTTTAAGTCAACGAGCATGGCGTAAAACTTTTCAAATTATCCCAGTCTTAATCCTGTGTAATTCGTTTATTTGCTTTTAAACACTTTCATTGCTTAACAAAATCTTAAACGGATTTCAACTAAGCACCAACAGTTCAATATGTAGTTAGTTATGTATATCTTAAATTTCCGGCAACAAAGCAGGCATTGCAGTGCTTGCTTGTATGTATGTATGCCCACACATACATGCATATCAATGTAAAGTTCAAGAAAACTTTGCTGCCACAGCCACCAAGACACTTCTATTAACAATAAACTAAATATTTACTTTTTCAGAGATTCACACAGCCCCATCTATGATGCACAATGGCGCCAAAAGCTGCAAAAAATTTTTAAGGAAATTTATGTTGCGTATTTCAAAAGCAGCTGGCATGCCGACTGGCTGGCTGTCTTGATGTCTGGTCACTTTTCTATTAAATAAATATGTATATACACTTAGCTGGAATTGATTTGACGCCCTTGGCATTTGAGTGAAAATTCAATGTTTTCATTTGGTTGGAAAGGAAAGCAGGAAATATGTACATAGATACATATTTACTTAGTTACATACAAGTATTTTCTTATATTGCTTTGTGTTTATTGTTGATTTTCACTTTTTTGCAATAATAAGCTATGCTGTCTTCGTTCCTTGCATTGAATGCTGCCAAAGGAAAACAAAAGTCAATTTGAAGGATCTGGGCAACTGGTTTAATTCGAATCTGTTTGGGCATGTAGATAAACTCTAGTATTTGCATACTTTGCTTGTTTTGATTTTAGAATACAAAACTCTCTCAAAGAAACAGGATTACAATAGCAACAATTGTATATATTAAGAAAAGAACTAACACCCAAAGCCACTGCAAATGCCAGGGGCAACTGTCCTAAAGTAATGTTTTGCCAATCATTCTAACTGTAACAGAGACTTTGTGTGTTCGGCATAATAAATGGTCAACATGCTCTTCGCATCACTTTCATTTCAATCAAAAGTGACTTGACACGTACATAGATGGAACTGGTACTGTTATTCTGCCACATACATATATACACACATAAACACACTGGTTGACGATGTGGCATCAGATGTAGACTTACAACAATCGTAGCGTGTATTTCACTCTGAAGAAAGCAAGGTCAGGAAAATGAAGATATATTGCTTTAACAATACGTACATATG